ACAGTCGAATTCAACTGCCAGTCCTTGATCACCTCAAGACGAAAGAGGATGAATATAGTTTTGTCTACTGGCAGTCTGAAAACCAGCTGATAAACGGAAACTTTTCGTTTCTTAGTAGGCTTTTGAAACTACCATTTGATCATATATATATATTTATTTATTTATTTACATATATTTACATTAAATTTCGCAAAAATATTCTCATCCCGGTTTCTACCCCGCTTGAACAGGTCTTTTTAGCAGCGCCAAAGGAACTGGAGCCATGTCAGTACAGTGCATTTGATATGATATACTGGTAATCTCGAATGACTACTTATTAACGGAAAATCAGTAGTATAGTATATTGCAATGATAAATAGAGCTTTTATTCATCGACAATCCCAGCACAGCTTGTATGAGAATGTCTGTTTTTAGAAAGAAAGCCAAAGTGAAAATAAGTGGAAAAATTAAGGTGCATTCATGTGCTTGTGGGGAACTTCAACTGGCCGTCTTTGGTCACCTTTAACGAAATAAACCGAAAACATGTTAGCCGACTTTTATTCTTCCCCTCGCAGGCGACACCGTCAAGCTGTCTCTGACGCCGGAGTACAAGACGCTGCGTGGACAGACGTCGTTCAGCTGTTTCATGCGCAAACGACGTCCCAGACGTCGAGACCGGCTGTTCTCGTTGCACGCCTCGGCGCGACTGCCGAAGCAGTGGTTCGGCGGCGTTGCCGCTTCCGTCAACTGGACCGTCGACGTGAAGCAGACCGGCGCCTCGGACGACCGACGAGTCGAGTACGCCGGTCCCATTCGCGTCGCCTATCGCCTGGCCAGACGTCGCAGTCGCGAACCGGGCGCCTTCCGACGGCGACGAGGAGAGGCGGTCGAGGAGAGGGCGAAAGACAAGCGTTCAACCGCGTCGCGGCGACGGAGACCGGGCGCTGGTGGGCGCGGCTCGAAGAGGCAGAAGTCGGCGCAGACACAAACGGAAGAGGCGATCTTGTACGGACAGAAAAATCTCGCCGATGGAGGTGAGCTTTGCACTCCTGCTCCCACTTTTGCCGACAGTCCGAGATTCATAACGCCTGGAAAGATGACTTTAACCCTTCCACGAAGAGAGAATGGCAGATAGGGCGAGAGAAGGAGAGAGGGAGAGAGAGAGATGGGTAATTTCTTACACCAAAGACTCTCTGTACAGCATAATGTAGGGACAAGTCGGCGAATATGCATAGGAAGTAAGATGCGAGACTATCAGTAGATCTCTTAATGCATGTGAAACTACCGTGTGTGATCAAATTATCATATTCACATGTCGAATAAGGTGACGAAGGAGCGGTTGAGCAATTTTCACATAATCAGATGAGTAGACCGCGTGCCTGCGCTCAATCTCACTCAGACTTGCTGCTCAAAAGATCTTCTCAGCCCGGCCGGAATGAGCAGGTCTGCAGTTTCCACCTCGCCTCGATCCCATCAGCACCCCCAACAGGAGGGGAACCCGCAAAAGATTGTGCTTAATCTCGACATGCTACAGCCAAGACACTCTCCCACGACGGTCATCAAGACCTGCCGGTTCTTGCTCATGTCACATTTAGTGGGAGGCAATCTGGCTTCTTTTTTTCCATTACAATTAGCTACACTACTTAAATTCATTGAAAGTAGGTTTCGTAACTCTAAGCAAATTTTGAATAGGAAAATTATATTATCCGTTTTTCATCAGCTTATGCTATCTAAGGTGAGTTTAACTCTTGTGCAAGATGTATTGATAGACTGTAATCCTACTTACAGTAATGTTATATAACTTGGTGGATTGTAGTAGCGAATTACATGTTAGCCTCGTCGGTGGTCCCACTACATAACGTGGCATAAAAAAGACCCGGTTTGTCTTGAAAGCCGGATTTGCCTTGTTATTTGCTGTCTATTGGTAGCATTTCGATATTAAACACTGCACCGATCAGGCTTCATTTCGATTATGGCTGCAGATGGGACCGAGGTCAGGTTGAAACTGTAGACCAGTTTGGTGTCGTCGAGATTGAACTGGCTTTTGGGAAGCAATGTTTATAGGAAACGTGAGGTCTAGTCATCTCGTTGTGGAAGGGCCCGCGAGTATGAGCCATTCATTACTTTTTGCGACTTAATTTGACCGAAAGTCTCTTTACCAGTTGGCGGTATCTTAAAAGATGTATAAGATATTATTGGTAAAAGTAGCCTTTGAAAATATCAGTACTCTTTGAATAAGAGTTAAGGAGAGACGGTAGAGTTTTTCCGCAATGAAATAAGTAGACTTAGCCATACCGGTCGAGTTCATTTATATGCAAAGAAAAGTGGGTTTCCAATACGTTTCTTGTTTCATAATTGTTGAGCTTACTTCCATTTCGAGCGAAAGTGTTTGATGCAGAAATTCGAAAGCCGATTCCACCAGAAGAGGACGGCAGATTACTCTTGATCAGATGTAGATTAACTTTACTGGAACATTCGTGTTGATGCTGTCTCCGAGGCAATCTCCTTCGATTCCGGTGAAAAGGTGCCAAGTTTTCGTCCTTTATATGACGGAAACCTTGAAAACGGCGTCAGCTTGAATGTTCCAGTATAGCCAATCGACAACTGGTCAAGAGGAATCAGTTTCTGGTCGCCTTCTGGTGGAACCGACCTTCCAATCTCTTCACGCAACACTTTCACTCGAAATGGAAGTAAGCTCAACAATTACAGAAATTAGTCACGTCCCACTAGAAAGCAATGTTGGATTCCTCTCGACCAGTTGACATCTTTGCAGATGCAATCCTCGATTCCGGTGAAAACCGTCACTCAGATTCAGATTGGTTAAAATGATCAAATGTTTGTCTGTTTGTTGTGTGTGTATGTGTGTGTGTGTGTGTGTGTTTATTAGTGAGTAAGTGAATTAAAACATAGTGCAAACGACCATAATTAGACCTTTGACCAAAATGAGTCCTGTCGAGTTGCCTCCTTATTCCAGGCGACTATATACTCTATTCGGGAGTCTATCAATTGAGCATAAGAAATTGCTGCTTAACTTTCCACCGGTACATCTGGCATTTCATATATTGCCTGATCCGTAAGTCAGCTGGCCTCGTCAATTCTGAGCTCACCTGCAAATAAATTATGAACCGCAAAGCGAATATCTTCTATATCATGTTTCGCTACTTCTGCTCGTTGAATCACACTGAATCTACTGGCAGCGTTGAATTCCGCCGCTCTTTTCACCGAATGGGGCGACAAGTCATTCCAACCTATTACTAGTAGTAGTAATAGTAGTAGTATTACTATTATTATCGTTATTATAGTTATTGTTATTATTATTATCGTTATTATTATTATTATCAATATTATTATTATTGTTATTATTATTGTTATTATTATTATTATCAATATTATTATTATTGTTATTATTATTGTTATTGTTATTATTATTATTATTATTATTATTATTATTATTATTATTATTATTATTATTATTATTATTATTATTACTCAGCATTCATATTAGTAGTCACAGTCGTAGGCGTAGTCGTCAAAATAGTATTAGTGGTGGCAGTAGTAGTAGTAGTTGTTGTTGTTGATGTTGTACGGATCAGTTCTCCCTTTAACAGTCGGCATAGCTGAAGCAAGTAGTACAGTTTACTTGGACACTGTTTCTCTTCCACGCAGGCTGTCCACTTCAGCCCGTTCGTTAAATCGAGAGCAAGAAGGCAATGTGAGGCAGTGGCAGAAAAGGTCTCAGTTTGTCCACTTCTCAAATATTCCCCACCTGAAGATGCATTCCTTGTTGGTCTAGTCTCGTGCTCAATGAGTAGCACATTATCCCAGTTAATTGATGCCGATGCTTAACGAGGAGGTGGATGTGTCCACGTCCAGTCTGCCACGTGAGCAGACCGAAATCTTGTCTTGCAACGTCGAAGAGTGCTTATCTGAGTGTTTCTGCGTGTGTTGCGTGGTTCCGTGTGTGTGTGTGTATTTATTTGTGTGTAGTGCTCATGAGACAAGTTAGACTACCAAATCCCGGTGGTTCTTCTTATTCCCTCTCCCTTTCATACACACACACTATTTCCCTATGACTATCTAACCATAGGTCCCACTACACATAGGTCCCACACAATTTCCACACAATTTCCATACATATTGTTGTATACACATATGTTTGGTGACATGTAATATGCATATATGCATATAAGTATCTCTGAAAAGCTCTTGACAATGAAAAGGTTTTAGAAAGTGTTATTTAGCTTTTTATGAGTTTTTAGTAAACAAGAATTTAGTTGCTCATGGTTGTTTAGTGAATTCGCCCGCTATCAGATGAGCATGTGGCACGTTGTCTTTGAATTTCACTGAGTCTTATCTCCGAAAAAATGTGCTCATCAGGGCGGAGTGCAGATGTTTGTCGGAAAATTCAGCCCCCCCTTCGTCATCATCTCAAACGAAACAAGGTTAATACAGTTCATATATCAGATCTAGTGGATGTCTAAAATGTCTGTTTACAACTGAAAAAACAATAGTTTACTCGATGGTTATAGCAAATACAAATTTGCTTTTTTGACAAACACACTACAGAAATGTGATGTATGAAAGGCCTATTCTTACTCGCATCAATTCTTATGTGCTGGTATCTCCGGACTGATTGGGCCAAGTGGCATCAACATGCTCACAGAAACGAACCGGAAACTTCAAGATGAGGTAGTAAATCCGCCCAATAGGGTTGCCCAGGTTATGGGTTGGAGACAGAGCCCAGGTCGCGGAAAGTGCTGAAGGAAGACCGGAAGTTAAAGTCTCCACAATCTCACGACTAAGCTAACAATTCGGTCTTGCTTCCCAAAACTTTTTCTCATCTCTGCTGGACTGGACTGGACTGGACTGTACTGGATTGGCGTAGACCTCGACTGAACTCGTCTCATCAGCACCCCCAGCGGGACTCGAACCCGGACTGCGCAGAATTCACTTTCGACTTGTCACCACCACGACACACTGTCACGAGTAGCACAGACATCAATTGTCAGCAGTACTAGGCCGCTGCCACATTACACCTCGTTAGTGTGATCGTCGGTGTAGCAAACTTGAATTTTTCCGCAACAATCAACCATACTACTTATGCTCAGGAGAAGTAGGTAGTATAACCTGTCCAAGTGAGGCATAAACTGCAGTTAGGTGGCAATGAGAGGGCCTTTTTTGAAGCAAGACTGTGTCAGATCCATTAGAAGCCCGAGGTCTATTCATTGAATTGTGGTAAAATTAGACTGAATATGCAGCTTTTTTATAAGTTCTTGTAGCTATTAAGAGAAACTTGGTTTCGATTAATCGCTCGAGATAACATTGTTGGGGGGACTTTCGTCTCGTATGCAAGTGCATAAAGAAGAGATTCGTGAGTTGATGTCACGAAAGGAGGACAGCTGAAGCCCGTTGTACTGCAGCCGTTTGGCTTTTACACGACGTTCATGTTGGCGCAGCGCAAGAGACTTCCTGCTTCGTTTCGGGTGAAAATGGACTGAGCTTTCGTCCATCATTCGAAAGAGATCATCAAAGCTGTGACTAATTCCTGTGAAATTGTCAAGTCGACACTAAGAAAAGAATACTTTCCGGTTCTATCTTGCCTCTTGTATAAACTCAATTGAGCAAAATAAACTAAAAAATTTGGAAAAATATAGAGTGGTTTGGCCAATCATCTTACATACTAATCTCTTTTTCATACACTTTCATACGAAATGAAAGTCCCTCCAACAATATTATAAGTTGAATATATGAAGACCAAGATGTTGTGGCCTCTGTTATGGTCGCAGTTTCCTTTTGATGTATAGAAGTGGGTTGACCTCGTTGTCGCAACTTGGTCTTATGCTCAGGGAGACTATGTAGAACGCACCGAGTCCCAAGTCGACATTACAAACTTTCCAAAGTTGAACTGTGGACGTGGTACATTTGGAAATGATGATGCAGACAATGGACTCCTGACCAGTTGCGTTCCTCTAAGTCG